ATTGTGGCGATTAGTCATTGAGGTACCCTTGTGCAAAACAAAGCGTCCAGTTGGCGGCAGACCCAGGTGACAACGAGTACCTTGGTGTACGCAACTGATCCACTACACATACACGTGCCAGGATTTACGATAGAAACAGAGGCAGCATGTCGGGCATGGTGGCGCTAGTCTGTTGAACCTTACTATGTTCTTTGCAGAGTGTTTGCCAAGTGGACTTATAAATAAATTACAGTCCAAAACCGTTAGGCTAGAATATGCCAGAGTCTCGACGAGGTAGGCTTAGGCCATCAACTGATGTCACATGCACGTGCTTCTGACCGGGTGCGAGAATCACGACGGTGGCGAGATTTTCGAAGACTGTACCCAAGCATTGCATCAATTTCAGCCGGTTTCTATAAATTCTTTGAAACATGTGTTAAAGGTTAATGTTGCCGAATATTCCTAGACCTGTTAATAGTTCAAAACATTTTCTTATAGTAATGCCAATATATTTATATAACTGTTACATTTCCAATTATTTTAAAGAATACATTTACATGTATATGTTTACAATTACCCTTTAGAATTTGACTGTAGTCGCATGCTTTCTGTACTCTTCCACATCGATTAGTGGTTATATTCTTTCTTTTGCTAATCTGATGGTTCTAGATTTTCTGTTACAGCGATTTTTTATAAGGTTGTATTTTCCTCGAGGTAAATGAAAGAATTCGGGGTAGAAATTTTCATTAAAACTTAAAAGTCATATTTTTTAAAAATTGGCAAATTCAACTACCTCTCGCCGCTTACCTTGCTGCAAGAGTGCTCACAATATCGGTTTGGGAAATTTAGTAAGATATAATTTGCCATATTACAATAATACTTATCCGCTACAAAACGAAGTACAAAGAACTAGATATGATTTGTACCATAGTTAAGTGTGTTTTACGTACTGACACGATACCTACCGAGGAAAAATTATGGAACAGTTTCATAACTACGTCAATTTAAAGGACTATTGTTTCTATAATAATCGTTGTATATTAACGATAATTGAATTAAGAAAACTAGCGGTGCAAACAAAGAACCATGCTTTTCACATTTTTACTTGTAAATTTTCCAACTTGTCAAAATTTAACATAGAATGACGCAAATCGAACCTGACCATTTTTATAAACGTGGCTTGCACTATGCGAAACAAAATTAAAAGAATAAAATTGAACCATTTTTAAAGAAAAACTTTCTGTTTAAAATTGCCCCTTAGTGTACCCCCGATACAGTTAATACAACCCGGGAAGGGAAACAGACGGTACGGACGGACCGACGGCCGGCTACGGATGTTGTAGTGGTACGGAGGAGACGAACTGACGCGGAGCAGAGACGAAACGGCCGACTCGAACCTTTCTGCTCGTTGAACCAATTATTTACGTATCAAAACAACTCATCAAAATTGAGATTCTAACCCAAGCGTCGTTGAGGATGGAGATAAGTATTATACTACATACTGAAACAAGTAGTTGTTTACAGTTTTTTTTTTTCGAACGTGCCATAACCTCTTAACACACTAACAGCGCATAATATTGATCAAACATCGCGTTTATATTCACCTCCTTTAATACTTTTCTGCTACTTACGGTTAGAACGTATGAGATTAATTAAATACATATGTGTTACATTTGCATATAAAATGTATTCTAGCATGTATATAAAAATTCTGCTCAAAACTTACTTTTTGCATACGTTACCGTTTAAACTCCTAAATCCAACAATGTGGCCGTTAAAAGCGTATTGCCTGTTTGTTGCCGAGTGTTTGCCTCTTGTTCAACTGCGCGTACCACAGGCCACTTGTGCTTACGTGCGAGCCTCCCAGACTGCTTGAATGGCTCCGGGGCACCGACGTCCTGCCCGCTTATCTCTTGGAGGAGCAAATCTCCAGTGGCACAGCGTACCCCGAATTGCCAACCCCTGGGACCGCTTAATTCATATCGCGCAAATTCCATGCTCCGGAATTCCAAACATGTTGTGTTATGCAAGTTGGTGTGTGTGTTTGCTATGGTTGTGTAATTGTGTTGCGCGCGCCTGCGCGCGTGTATTGTGTTTGTGCGCTGTGCTCGTTTTAATTTTGGGGCGGGGGGGCCGTTTTGGTTATGTTGTGTGTAGACAGGGACGACGGCATGTACAGCGGCAGACAGGTATATGGAAAAAATTACTTTTTCTGTGTCAATGATCCCCAGAACGAGAGTTCTGACTACAGTACGTACTCTACTTAGAATATGAACAAGTATTTAGGCCGAAATCAGTAAGTTTCAACGTGTTTGAAGTTATTAATCGAGGCGCTAAACCGAGGTTCCATAACAAACTGAGTCTGTTATTGTGTTACCTAGCATGTGATTCTGTAAATGCTTTATAAGAACTCTTAAAAGAAACTGAAATCAAAAGAATTCAATGAAAATCGAACCTGCTCCATTAAAGTGATCTTCGTTCTATATAAAAAAAATAGGGACCAATTTTGAGAAAATTTCGTAAAAATGCTGAGGTTTTCCGATCATACCCTAAAAATTAAAAACATTTTTTCTCGCCTTACGAATTTCTCGTAACGACAAGATAGTTTGTAATCGTGCGCCAAGAAAGGTCTAAATTTCTCCACAAAAAAAGTTTTGCTTGATTCGATAACGAAGTAGATTTAATTCTATTGCTAAACTGAAAACTAGTGGTGCTGACAAAGCACACTCTCTCTCTCTCGCAAGGCTTCTAAACACTCCATAATATTATATTTTTTTGCATAATGTAACTTTGAAAACAATGAGGTCGTGACATACCGTTTTTAATAATGGGCAAAAGTGTGTACACTTGTTTAAAATTTCAAAATACGGAAATTGACATACAGACACTTTCAGTTTATTTCGAATTTTGTGCACTAATATATATTATATATATATATTATATATTAATATATTATATTATAATATTAATATTATATATTTATATTATATATATATATTATATATTATATATATATATTATATATTATATATTAATATTTATATATTATTTATTATATATTATATATTATATATTATATATTGTATATATATCACCTTTCGCCGTGAATTTACAATCGCTTTTTCTGCTAGTAGCCGTACGTTAAGTTTGCGAGAATTTAAAAATAAACATGTAGACGAGAAATACAATATGACACCTTCAGCTGCAACTCAGGTTTTGATTGTCTTAACGCGACTCGCGTCAGTCATATTGTTAAAAGGATGCCGGTTGTAACGGTAGCTTTATGTTACCCTCGTATGCATGAATGGGGATGTACCCGTTTACTCTGTCAGCTGAACGAAAAGTTGCTCATTTGCAACGTGTTGTAAAAAAATTAAGAAGGAGTATCAATATTTATTTTCTGATTTTGCTGTGAATTGGTAAACGAGTATATTTTAAAATAATGTTAGTAAAAATTGTTTAATTATTTTACAAATGCAAGTTATGAATCTAATTTGGACTCGAAATCCAAAATGGAAATACTAAAAATACGGTAGTAATAATGTACGTTTATTGCATGAATTGCATTTTCTTCTTGTTTTAGTTATCTATACAGAACATTTCTTACATATTGGTGTAAGTTGATTCAAGAATAATTATCTTTAGATCGCAATTAACTCCTTGGAGAACTGATAAATGCGAGGCAATGAACTGGCCAACGTTTGTATTTTTCATCATTGGTAGCAATATGCGTTTACGTTGTCAGCGAACAGGTAATGTGGCATCAGGAAGTTCATAGAACGTTACAGAACAGCTAGAGAACAGTGTAACGTTATACAGAGTAGTTTAAGTTGAGTGCGTTGAGTTACGTGAGCTGTGTTGAGCTGCCCTGCGATTTTCTCAGTGCGAGAGAGACTTTCATGTCGCACATGAAAAAAGTATTAAAACGAAAATCCAGCTAGTGCGGAATAGTGATCTTGTCAGCGGTGACTCGGATGCCGCCGCTGGGCCTGAGGGCCGTTACCTTGCGAAAGCACCGCGACGCGGCTGGCAGGCGTGCTGTGCGATGACGCCCGGCTCGAACGAGGGCCGCAGCACGCCGGGAGAGCCCGAAAACAGGCGCATGAGCCGCGCACTCAGCGAAATGCCACGCTCAGAGCAATTAGGCGCGCCGTGGAAAGGCTGCCTCCTGCATGGCGCATCTCCAGCTGTTCAACCCGGAAAGTGTGTAACGTACTTGCGATCAAAAACTCGTGGTAGATATCTTAGGCAACGGCAAAGAGGGAGTTAGCAACAGGAAAAACACCTCGCCGCAAGAGGGAGAGAAAAGCTTTCTGGTGAAGCTAGCGCGTGGCAAAGGAGACGCGAGGCCGCTCTGCGGGTTCTCCGATGCTGAGGGAATGCCAGAAAAACATCGGAGCTGCGATGCAAGCTGTAAGCGAGATGCAGAGGCAGCGGACGTAGTAATTTCACGTGAGGCGACAGCTAAATAAGGGAGAGTACAGTGGGTGGGTTCTGCAAGAAAGTGTAAGAACCTCGCGCTGATGGACAAAACTTGCGCAAATAGCCTTGCAGCGGCGAGCTGCGGCTCGCGAGGCAAGCTCCACGTGTTGACTGCGCGTTGAGGCCTTTGTGTTCCATGTGTAGACTGCAGTTCACGTTGAGTGTGATTGCTGTGTGCGTAGGCTCTGAGGTGAGTTTAGTGCCGTTAAGATTCCACGATTACACGATCATCAATCGGCTTTCAAGCTAGCTGCCTTGCGATCAAGGCAAAGTCAATTGGGTTTGCTGCAGGACTTTGTGTCCGAGTGTGTATCTGGTCACGCGAAGCCTTGGCTTTGCTACATGCCACCAAATTTAGGAGCGGCGAGTTACACGAAAATTAAATCGATCATCAATCGGATATGATCGCTCCACAATCAGGAGATAGTAGGTGCTATCAGAGATAGATTGCGAAAAGTGTAGATAATCATTGTTAACATAAATTTGTTTTACTGTAAATAACTGTATATTATGAAAGCCTCTGTCTATGCTCGCTGTATCTATGACGTCGTAGGTGGCACCGGCGAATCAACTGATTTCACTGCGCAGTTGCCGCTTCTCAAACGGGTGCCCTTAGGTTCGCATTCCCGAAAGCGTGCAAGATTTTCGACACTAGCTAGTTTTGAAGTGAGAATTCCTGTGCCGGATGCTCTGCATCGGGGTTTAGTTATTTTTTTCTTTCCCCGTTTGGTTTTCTTTAATTCAACTCCAGGAAGAATGCTTGAAGCAGTTGCTCTAACAAACGGTGACCATGCCCGAACAGTTTGTTATCTTCCCCGCAGAGGGTATCGTGTCTTGCCGTAGGAGGACACAATCTCTGGTTGAAGAGATGTAGACGATTCACCCGCCCGCACCAAGAGTTATCCCGGCGAACACTCACGTCGATAGCTTCAAGGTGGGGGCAGTTAAGTAAGGTTGATGCTTAGAACTCCTAGGATGCTGCCGAGAATTGCACGTAAAAGCCACAGTCGGGCCTTTAGGCGCGCTCCATCTTTCGGCAGGATCTGGCAAGCAGGGAGATTCTTCGGAATGCCTCAGCGAATTTCACTTGAAGCTCCCGACGCGAAACCTGATACTACCCACGCAGGTTGCCCCTAGCGTTTTTGCGATTACTCACGTCACAAGACCTAAAGTTGCTAGACAGGGAGGAAACAGCGAAGGGGCCCAAAGCTTGCTCCTAACCTTAGTTCTCAGTTGGTCCCTGTTGGGTTTTTGGTTTCGTTCGCAGGCAGTGGCCCGAAAAACTCTAGCGCAAAGAGAAGAGGACTTGTTCCAGGCGCACGTGTAGTGCGCCATTGATTGAACACTTACTAGGCGCGGGAAGCAAATTAGATTGGAGCTGCATATGGGGGCCAACAACACAGCAGTTGATTTGAGAGATTGCTAAGAGCGCAAAATTGCGTTCCGGCGGGGATCCAAGGATCCTCGGAAACCCGCCCCCGGCGTACTTGTGTCCCGGCGATGGGTGTCGCATAAAGGGGAAAAGCCAAGGTGATCTTACCATGGCGGACTGGCTACCCTCTGAGTAGATCAAGAGTTGTGTGGAGTTGTAGTACACGCCAGGCGTTCCACGCAGGCACGTTGTACGCGAACCCACCTTCCTCTACTTTGTCTTATCCTCACCCCCTTACACCAACACTTAGACTGACATTGCACTACACTATCACAACATGCCGGCTGAGCACCGGTCGCGAGCTTAGATTTTGTCTCGTCTGTGCGTGGTGCCCCGCTGGCAAAGAAAAAACACGTGGTTGCGGAAAACCTCGCTAGCCGAGGGTAGCTCAGCGTCGGATCTCAACATCTAAAGGGGCGACCACCGCATACTTCCGAAGGAAATCCATACACTACACGTACGGGATAAATTACTTATCCATTCATGCCCCGGAATTACTAAATTAATCAATCAATGGAAATCTAACAGTTGAGTACCATGCAAGTGGTTTAAGAGAAGTTATTTATAAGTGTCCTGAAAACGCTATTCGCATTTACTTCCAGGATATTGCAGCTTTAAAAATAGCAGCGTTTATACATTAAGTTTGAGTCATGTTTTTACATTATTTAGCCCCTCACGATTGCGTTATGTGTATGGATACTTTGTACTATTAACTGATTACACTATTAAATATTCGACGCCTATTTGACGCCTAAGAATAAGCTGTGTTACGAATATACTTAGCGATTCGAGTTCCCCTTAAGCAACAACCTTCATGAGGCTTCAAGAAGGAAACAATTTGTCAAGGAAAGTACTGCCCGCTAGGACGATGTTTTCTTCAACAAAATCTCTGTAGCTATTCTTATGGCATTTTTTACATATATGACAAGAATACGGTGGCATTTCAAATCTCATCTGAATAGAATAATATATGATAGAGAAAATTATTGCGTAATTTTTAGTTATGTGCGGCCAAATAAGTACAGAAAGGTTTGGCGGAATGATTGATTTATTGTGATTCGGAGCGCGTCGACTGCTTAAGTTCATCTCTCTC